TGGGGGGGCAAGTGAAGCTGGGAGGAAATCAGATCTGTGATATCACTGACCCGGGCTGCCAGGGAGGCCTGGGTTCGAATCCCAGCCCTACCACTTACTGGCGGCATGTTTCAGCAAGTTACTTAACCTGCCCGTGCCTCAGTTTCCTCCTCTGAAAAAATAACCATCATGGTCACAGATCATTACGAATATAGACCAGTGCCCAGCACAGGGAAAGCACATATTAACGTAGGCGGCGTGTGTCATTATTATTGCCATCATTATGGTAAACCCTTGGGAGAGAACACTGAGCAAAACCTGCAATCCCCCCTTTGTTCTCCACACCTGGCCTTCCTGAGTCTCCTCCGGAGAGCAGGCTGCAGGCTCCACCATGTGCTTACCTGAAGGTGATGGCGTAGGAGTCGCTACCTTCCCGCTTCCGGATGAGGAAGGCGCCGTCCCGGGGAACCCTCATCAGCATGTCCTCCGCTTCTCCACGGCTCAGCCCGTCATAGTACCACCTGCAGCAGAGGCCGGGAAACCGCCAAGTGAGAGGGCCACCCATGGGGGGGGGGGGATGGGGGGGAGGCTTGAGGACGCCTGAAATATGGCCCCGGGAACCACTGGGGAAAGGAGAGGGCCTCCCATCCAACACCCTCTGCAAATAGCATTTTTAAAAGACCATCGACACACAGCCTGGGGGAAACGTCCATGTGGTGGGTCTGTCTGAAGCACAAGACAATAAATCAACCAAACTTGGCCCCTGCTCTGCCCAGCTCTGGAGGGCCAGTGTCCGAGATGGCTCAGGAAATCGGAGGCAGGGAACACAGGGAATCGCGTTTCCAACAGGTTCTTTCGTGTGGTTGGTCTTTGGTTACTTTTAAAGATGTGAAATAACAAATTTTAAAAGGCAACCCGTATGAATATAGATGAGACGTCAACAATAAAGTTGCTGTGAGTTACGTGGCTTTCTGAGAAATGTGCACTTCAACAACCTCCTGCTTAAAAAATGTGTTTTTCTGTTTTGTTTTGTTTCCAAAATTGGTTAAACCTTTGAAAGGCATAACTGATACTCACTTTATCAGTAAACAAATGAAGGGGAAACCTTTACCGTTATTTTTTCCTTGTTTGCTTTCAGAACAAACAGGAATGATCTATGACAAACAGAAAGACATCTCTGGGCCAAAATTAAGCTCTTAAAACCGAGGCCCGGGAATTCAGGGCTCTGAAGATAAAGTAGAAGGAAGGGAGAAGAAAGGGAGAAGAAATGGGGCAAAAGCAAGGGGGAGCGGGCATTTGGAAATGGTGGCCACCGTGGGAACTTGAAGAGACCCTGAGGAAATGGGCCCAGCACACCCCAAGACTGGCCTGATTGGTGGACACAATCTGCAGGGGTGTCTGCCCCCGCTAAACCCATGGATGTGCAGCCCGAGATCACGGGCTCACGTACGGCTTTGATTCATGGGGGTTGGGGTTGGGCACGGGGTCGGTGAGTCGGAGCTCGAACTCGGCGCAGCGCAGGTGCGTCTCGCGGTAGTGCTGGATGAGGGCGTAGATGCTGGTGAACATGAGGTTGTCAGTCAGGTAGTACTTCATGGTCCCGCCCTCCATGGTGGAGCGGATCCGGCAGTGCTGGACCCGGCCGGACCGCCTGTGGGCAGAGGGACAACAACATCAGTGTCCAGGCCGACCAGCTGGCCTTCCTGCACCCTGGGTGTCAGACAACACAGGCGGGGGCCAGACTGAAGCCAGGGGTGGACACTAGGTGTGGCCACACAGGCTTCCCTCTGCTCTTAGAATAGACCCCAGGCTTCCAGAACATTCTCCCTCCCTCCTCCACCCCTGGCCCCTTTTACCTACATAACTCCTACTCTGGAGCAAGAGGACCTAGGTTCAAATCCTGACTCTGTCACGTGACCTGTCCTCCCTGAGCCTCTGTATTATCATCTTAGTGGTCACACAGGGATAATAACAGTATCTGCTTCACAGAGTTGTCCTGAGGACTAAATGAGATCCCACACAAAATGTGCCTGGAATGCTGCCTGGCACATGGTAAGAATGTGTGCGCTATCAGGATTTTGTGTTTGTTATTATAGTTTTTACTAGAGGCCCGATGCACAAAATTTGTGCACAGGAGGGTCCCTAGGCCTGGCTGTCAATCAGGGCCCATCTGTAGGGCAACTGGCAGGGCGATTGGGGGTCCCCCACTGGCACCCGCCTTGGCCAGCCTGGTGCCACCCACTCTCCTGCCTGCCCCCTGCCGCCACCGCCTGTTGCCTCCCTCTGTGGAGCAACCAGCTGGCCTGGAGCTTGGGGCCTGCAGGCTGGGGGCAGCTCCTGCATTAAGCGTCTTCCCCCTGGTGGTCAGTGAGCGTCATAGCAACCAGTTGTTCTGCAGGTCATTCCACTGTTCGGTCAATTTGCATATTAGGCTTTTATTATATAGGATTCTTCAGGTCTCCATTTAAACACCACTTCTTTCAGGGAGTCTTCCCTGACTACCCCCCCCCAATATTACATTAGATCCCTAACAGACTTTCATAACATCTTGCATTTTTCTCATTGCACAACTACAATTATGTATCATTTGCATGATTACTTTTTCATTGTCATCTTCCCCGCTAGACTAATCACCATTAGGACAGAGACCCTGTCTGTCTGATCACTGCTAAATCAAAGTGCCCACCACAGAGCAAGCACTTGATAAATATCTTTTCATGAGTGAGGCATAGATGAATGAGTGAAAGAATGAATGAGAAAACTCATAACAGCTCCAAAAGGCTGCTTTCAGAATCTCTATTTTAGAGACAAGAAGAGGGAGAATCCAGGAGATTGAGAGAAGTGCTCAAGGTTATATCACCTGATCCAGGGTTGGGATTAGGGGAAGATGAATGAGGTCACATTGTTTTAGGTTGATATTTTGTTCATCATGGTTTTTTTAAAATACATTTTTATTGATTTCAGAGAGGAAGAGAGAGGGAGAGAGAGAGAGAGAGAAACATCAATGATGAGAGAGAATCATTGATTGGCTGCCTCCTACACTCCCCACACTGGGGACCAAGCCCGCAACCCGGGCATGTGCCCTGACCCGGAATCAAACCGCGACCTCCTGATTCATAGGGCGACGCTCAACCACTGAGCCACGCTGACTGGGCCATCGTGATTTTTTTTGCATTACTTTTTAATTTTTCAAACATTGCACTGAAATATCACTAATCTGATTACTAAGTTTTTAGGCCTCACCCACCTCACCCAGTCCTGCCCCACACAGCTCACTAAATGAGGTCTGGGGTTCCGGTCCAGGCCTGCCCGAGTCTGGCCTGCTCTCCCACTACCTGCCACCGAGCCTCCCCTCTGGCCAGCTGCCAGGAGAAGGCGGCCCGCCCTGGGAAGAGGGCCGTTACCAGAAGGACAGGGTGTAGTCGTTGGGGAATGTCTCGCTCTCCCGCACCAGGAAGGTGCCGTCCTTGCCCCCCGTCTCTGAGCAGTATTCCTGCAACAGCTTCTCAGCACTTGTCCTCTTCTCCACCTTCTTGTGGAACCACTTCTCTCCAAAATGCAGCTCTGTGGGGGGCGTGTCCTGGGCCACAAAGAGAGGAGGGGTTTCTGAAAACCTGGAACAGGCCCCCAGCATCTCCAGACTGGCCCCCCTTCGCATCCTGACTCGGGGGACTGGAAACAGAGGCCTCAGCTAGCCCTCACCCCGAGGCCTGCGAAGACAGTTTCCACTGCCCTCCCCTGCCTGCTAACCTACTCCAGACAGCCCCCATCTGTGGGAGCCTCCTGGAGTCCTGAGACAAGGGGAGAGCATTCCCCAGTGCAGCCCTCAGTCTATTGCAAAGGAAGTCTGAGAGCAAAAATACCTGGGAGCTCAAGAAACAGTACCAAAGGCGGCCAGCAGCCTGAGGGGAGAGGGCAGGAAAGCTGGGGACAAGGCCAGGGGTGGGGCTGGACAAAATATCCAAATGACCTCATCCTCTGGAGGGAGCACATGCCATTCAGGCTCTTCAAAGAGCAGGAAAGACCCTTGAACGTCATTGGTGAAGTCCCTGGGCCAGCCAGCCAATCAGAGAAGAGCCAGAGAGGCTTTGGTACCCAAAGAGGCAGCTTCTTAGGCTGAGGACGTCCAGGCCTGATGGCCGCGGGATTAGAGGAGCCGTCTGGGAGGTCTCCACCTACCTGGGGCACTTCCTCTTCCACAGTCTGCTCAATGTCGTCGCTGAAGGACAGCTTGGCATCGGCAATGGCGCAGTAGTGCCGAGTCCATTTCTAGAAAGTAAAACCAGCGTTAGCTCCGCCCCAAAGTCTCTACCCTATCAATTCTGGGGCCCAGAGCCCTGCCTGGCATCATCATCCCAGCATTCCCTGGGGGCTAGCCTTTCCCACATTCATAGGCATTCATGGTGGTTTCACAAAATCTGATCTCCTTTGAAACATTTCTTTGAAAGCATCTATTTATTTTGCATTTCTTTTGGCATTTTCAGAACCTTTTCTATTCAGTGTATGCAAGGGTACATATGACTTAATATCAAATTTCTATTTCATTTGAAGCCTTTGTGAATGGTGGCATTGATTTTTATGTCCTCCTGACTGTCTTTTCCTATTTCATTCACTTTTTAAGGATTTCTCTGCCAGCTTGTTTAGAGAACCTTTCTCCAACATTTAATTGTGACTTAATTCTCTTTTTAAATTTTATCCATTTTTGTTTATTTCTAGGATATAAGAATAGTCGTGTAAAAATGGATTTGCATGTTAGATTAAAGGATATGAGAAGTGGTGTTAGCACTCAAAATGCCTTATTCTCATCAAAAAATAAGGTTACCAGCCTGACCGGCATGGCTCAGTGATTGAGGGTCGTCCTATGAACCGGAAGGTTCGATTCCCGGTCAGGGCACATGCCCGTGTTGTGGGCTCAATCCCCAGTGTGGGGCGTGCAGGAAGCAGCCAATCAATGATTCTCTCTCATCATTGAGGTTTCTATCTCTCCCTCCCTCTTCCTTCCTCTCTGAAATCAATAAAAATATATTTTTTAAAAAAAGGTTGCCAGTGGGAGCGTCTCAGATTGGAAGATACTGAGGAGTTAGGCCCACTAAATGCCCGAACTGGTCCTTGGACCAGAAAAAGGACGCTAGCGGACAAATCGGTGATGCTGAAGTAAGGCTCATGAGTTAGTAGTGCTGTGCCAATGGTAACTTCCTGGTTATAAAATTATACTCTAATTACGTAGGGTGTTAGTGTCTGGGGAATCTGGGTGAAGGCTATATTCATTGTGTGTGTGTGTGGTGGGGGGTGTAAATATATAGTAAATTATATTGAATACAAAGTTATTTCAAAATAAAATATAAGAGGAAAAGAAAAGTTTCATTATAATGATAAATTCATTGCGGTCACAATGGGCGTCAGACAGGGATCTCCTCCGAGCCCTCCAGCAGGGCTCGGACACACTCGAGGCCTGAGAAGGGGTGCAAAAGGCTCACCAGGTCGATGGGGTCCCACATGTACAGCTCCCCCTGCTGCTTGTGCTCATCTTTCTTGTCCTCCATGTTGACATCCACGTCGCCTCGGGGGCCCAGCTTCTTGTGCTGAGGGGGAAACATGCAGAGAGCCCGTCTCCCTGGAGGCCCAGGCGTAGGAGGTTTGGGCCAGCAAGCATCCGTCTGCAACGCCACACCTCAGGGCCTTTGCACGGTCTGTCCTCTCCGCCTGGCTCCTCTCCCTACATTCAGCTCCGTGCTCGGTGTCCCCTCCTCAGAGGAGCTTTCCTCGACTCCTTGATCTGAAAATAGCCCACGCTTCCCTTCCCACCCTTCACTCTCTAGCCCCTGGTAGTTATTGTTCATACCCTTAGTCCTATGTGTTTCTGTGTACCTATCTGCTTGTCTCCTATCTTCTTTGCTGGAATTTAAGTCCCATGAGGACCACTAAAATGGGCCATATTAGAAATGGTTAAAAGGTCCCTGGGACTTTGCTTCGTTCCCTGTTGAATCTCCTGTGCTGGCAGAGAGGAAGTGGGCGATGAACATTCGGTGAGTCGATGATACCGACATTCCCCAGCGCACAGAGGGGAGGCAGGATCACAGCCAGTCAGGGGCGCAGGCTGTGCGGGGCGGCGGAAGGCACACTGAGGAGGCAGAGGAAGAGGACCTGGTGCCAACAGCACTGCTGCTACCTTATCAGCTGTGTGACCCGGGGCAGGTGGCCACACTTCTCTGAGCCTCACGTTCTCATCTGTAAGATGAACACAGTGACAACAATATGCTCGCCTGTGTGAATCCTGACCACCCGCCTAGACAGGCACTTGATAATCTCGGGGTGTGGTGACCTGGTGAAGAGAGTGCAGGATTGGGTTTGAAACCAAGGCCTGTCACCTTCCTAGCCGTGTGACCTTGGCCACAAGACAATCTCTCAGTCTCGAGAACCTCCTCTATGAACTGGATGTAATGACACCCTGCAGGATGCTCTTAGCCAAGGGACATGTACGATGCCTGCGAACAGCAAAGCATGGCAGAAGTGTTCCGTTTTGAACCGCCTTGAATTGTTTCTTTGGCAGGAACTGTGTACCCTCAGCTGAGTGAGTCATTTCACCTTTAGACCTCAGTGTCCACATCTGTAAGTGGGGCCTGAGGGCCTGGGCAAGTCTCCCAGGGTTATGATGAAATAGAATTAAAAAAAAATACTTAGGCCCATGCCTAGCCCGGTACCAGTGCGTGGCACACACTGGTTGTGTCACGAATGCTGCTTCCACCCCCTTTCCCTGAAATGGGAAGGGTGAGCCATGAAGTACCACAGATGAGGCAATGGGTGCTCTAGAACAAGAGCTGAAAATCACTGGGGACAGAGAGCTGTCCTACTGGAAATGGAGGGAAGCGACAAATGAGCTGGGAACAGAGACATGCAACGAGGCCCCTGAAGACTCACTGACCGCATGCCTGAGACGCTCTGGGCCCTGCCTGGCTTCGCCCCCTCCACCTCTCATCCCGCCTCCCCTCTGTGTCTCAATGAAAACCGCCCAGGATCCCAGCCCAATCCTCCAAATAGCCTGGTGCTTTAGACCTGAGGGCACCAAGCCCCTTACACTGTTGGGTGCTACCTGTGGATGGGTACGTCTCCCCACTCGACCGTGACCTCCTGGCCCATAGGGATTGTTCCCAGTGTATCTTGGTGACTCAGGGACAAAACCTACCTAGTGAGCACCTACCCATCCTTCCATATCAGCCCGCTAGTTGCCAATGAACTCCATCTCGCTCCTTCCACTGCTGGCTGCCCACCCCGAGACTGCATATCCCAGGCTCCCAACAGGTGGCCTGCAAGATCCTGTGACTAAGTTCTCGCACACCAAAAGGACGGACTGGGACGTGTACAACTGACATCCACACGTTTACGGGAAATCGCTGGCCCCGGACCCCTTCACGTTCCCCTTCCTGTGGCTGGAGCTGGATCACCCACACCAGGACGGCGCCCTCGGACAGAGCCTGCGCCACGTGTGCCCCGGACGCCCACTGAAGACTGACAAACACCGAGGACCCCAATCTCAGAATAATGTTTACAATGCATGAGATTATAAGAGAAACTAATTATACTGAAATGTAGTTCTTAGGATGTTAAATAAAAAATATCTGTAATGGCCTAAAGATGTGTTATCTTTACTAATGGCTTGCATGCAATCTAGAGGCAGACTAATAGCTACCATCATCTGCAAGTGGTGACCAGCACAGCGTTATTCTGAGAGACCTGCAGGAACTGCACATGTGATATGAAAATACCATGATTTCTGCGGGTGACAAAACCCCACCTGGCTTGTTGCCAATGTTCATAATGGAAAGAGATGCTAAGTTTTACTTGCAGGTTAATCAAAACAAAGAGAAAATATTTTTTCCCCCAAAGTTCACATGTCAACCGTCCTGAATTCTATCTGTGCATTCTCTGGAGGTCTGTGGAACCCCAGCTGAAAACCCCTTCCCTGGGGGACTCTAGAACAGGACTCTGCGTCCCTGGATTACCTTGTGGGCCAGAGCTCCAAGCTTCCAGAACACTCTCCCTCAGATGAGGAAGAAATAAACTCATACGCTTTAAGCCTCTGTATATCTGGTCTCTTTATCCTAGTAATTCAAGTACCCAGATGCCACCCTGCCCCTGGCATCCCTGGCACTCTTGGGCACAGCAATCACTCGTTTCTCCCCACAGTACTTGGCAGGCCCCCCATTAGTGCACGCAGCCTTTTGGGGGCAACTGTGCACCTCCAGTCCATCTCCCACACTGGACTGGGAGCTCCTGTGGGCAAGAACAGTGCCTGGGCCCCTGAACACCCCTGGCACCTGGCACGTGACTCAGAGAGGGGCGTGGGGAAGGTTTGCCAAAAGAATGAATGACCGTGTTAATATTTACGTGCGGGTAGCGCCCGCAAAGGCCCAGGTGCAGCCCTAAGCACCTGCAGGCATTCCTTCACATTATGCTCACAGCACACCAGCCATGTGGGTTCTATTAGTATCCCCACCCCCTCCCAGACCAGCGAGAACACAGAGGCACCCAGAGGCTAAATGACCTTGTGAGGGTCACTGGGTAGTAAGGAGAGCCATGTGAGCCGGGGCAGTGGGACCTGGAGCCTGGGCCCTGAGCCTCTGGCTCTCCCGAATGAGTGACAGCAGCCTGAGGCCGCCTACCTTGATGATGATCTTCTCCCGCAGCTGGCTGGGCGAGGGCAGCTGGTCAGCACTGGCCTCCGTGGGCTTCGTCAGCAGCAGGTCGCCAAACACCTCCTTGAACACTCTGGCCATGTAGCGCTGCTGCTCCACGCAACAGTGCTCCTCGATGGACAGGATCACGGGGAAGCTGCGGGCGGCAGGGGCCGGCCGGCTCAGCAAGGGGGCAGGCACCCCGCCTGTGCCTGCCTGGCAGAGCTGCTGGGGACCCCAACCGTGCCCGCCCAGCAGAGGGCAGGTGGGCTCAGGCAGGGGAGCAGAGGTCACTGAACAGCCACATGGTTTCCCAGCACCAACTTCCTCCAGGTTCTGGAACCAGGGAGTGACTTGTGCTCTTGGCCTGTAGGGGGCGCCATCAGTCGGCTGAGGACTCGGTAGTGACTTGGCTCAGGATTGAGCCCAGGCTGGTGTGTTTGTAGCTCTGTGTGTGTTTGTGTGTGGGCAAAGGGAGGGGTCTCTGTCTGCTCAACCTTTGCTTCCTTTCCCTTAAAAGTGAAGCACCTGGGAGTCAGACAAACCGACCTTGAGGTGACAAAGGCGTGGTCTTTGATGGCCTGCACAACGTCATCAAACTTGATCTTGGTGGTCCGGGTCCAGCCGTGGTAGATGATGGGCTTCCCATCGGGCCCGTCCCAGCAGTCCACTGAGGGGAGAAGCGGGCAGCCTCACCACCTGTCCATCACTCTCCACCTCACGAGCGCACTGATGGCAGACATGCGCCCGGCCAGCCACGAACTCAGCCCTGACCCCCACGCCAGCTCAGTTGCTAGAACATGGGAGCCAAACCTAATAATCACACTCAGCGGCACCAACATGCGGATGGGTGTTACCTGTGACATGTGTTACCTGTGCGGTGATGGGGAGATTTTGGTTGTTTAATTAAAGGTCCTTTTGTAATGCAATACATTTGTCCAAAAGAAACTATTTTAAATGTTTCTCTTCGAAAAGGATATTTACATTGTGTTTTATTTTCTGATTTTACTTGTCTAAACCTTGGCTTGGCTTTTTCTGCTAGTGGAAAGAATATGAAAATTTATCCTTAAAGGTTCGCAGTAAAATATTCAAACAGAACTAGCTTATGTAGAAGGTGAACATCCCTATATCTTCATCCCCCAGAGGTAACAGGAGCTGACAGTTTCAAACTTAATTTTTTCACATTTGCTCTTTCCTGAGGGGGGAAAGTATAAACTAGGCAACACGCTGTAGAAATAACTGCCGTTAGAGTTTCATACTATGATGAATTTATTTAAAATAAAATTGGAGCCTAAATCGGTGGTTTGTGTCTTTTCTCAGCCTAATACCCCTATGAGCCGCTGGTGGTCAAGTCAGGCCAGGAGCAAGAGGTGAGGAGGAGGGAGGAAGAGCTGGGTCCTGGGTGTGTGCAGGTGCTTGGAGTCACCTGTACTGGGGTGTCTGTGAGCAACCATGACAAGAACGGTCAGGATGGCATCCATGGCTGAGCCAGCTAAGGGGCAGGTGGGCTCAGCAAGAGGGAGCAGAAGTCACTGAACAGCCACATGGTTCCCCAGCACCAGCCTCCTCCAGGCTCTGGACCCAGAGAGCAACTTGGGCTCTTGGCCTGTAGGGGGCGCCAACGAGCTGAAGACTTGTTGGCAGTGACAATTGGCTTCAATTCTCAGTAGGTGTTATCTCCACCAGGAAAAGGCTACTCACACTCAATGCAGCGACAGCCCATGCGCAGACAGCGGATATACGCCTCCGGGGACGACTCACTCCGCAGCTGGTCACCTGTGAGGTACCTGAAGGAGAGGAGGCGGGCCTGCACCTCAGGGTGTCCTTGGGGAACTTCTCAGCCCAAGCTCCCAAAGGCCTGAGTTCTTCCTGTCTAGAAAGACCCGCGGTTAGGATCTGGGCCAGACACTTGGCATTGTGTGGCCTCGCCTTAGACTCAGGCAACGATCACAAGATGTGAGCAATAACCACCTTAGTGATCCAAGTGTGGGGTCAAGACCATGTGTTCTTTTGGGAACTGGGTCAAAGGGTGTCAGGAGTGAGATTAATGGTGGCTGATAAATTAACAACCCTCCCTTGGCTACCCACTGGCCCTCAATCTAAAGGGGGCAGAGATGGGCCAGCATTTTGATATCAAAGAGCCAGCCATGAAGAGGTAGGTGGCCAAAAACTATAGGTGGAATTTACTATGCTATGAACTATGTCCACCAGACATAAAGATACCTATTTTTATGCACTTTCCTCCTCACCATGTTCCCCCTTTGAAGAGTTTATGTTCCTTAAATGTCTTCTGGGTTTGGTAGAATTCACCATGCTAAACGCAACTCTTAGATCAATGGACATGGTGGGGAAGAGAGAACTATTAAATCACTCTGCCCCTGAGCCAGACTGTACCTCCCAGAGTGCCTGGAGGTAAGCGTAGGGCTTTCTTACAAACTCCTGCCTGGAATGACACTTGGGAAACCACAAATCTGCTGCTTTTCGGGTGCCCAGGATCCAAGGCCTGCACCCTCCCACCTTATAAGGCAGACTAATAGTGAAACTTGAGTGCAACATCATTTCTCTCTTCCCGTCTATTTTCTTTTTTGCAATCAAGGCAATCTCCCAAAGATGTAAATTTGAGCATGTTGCTCTCTGGCTTAAAAGCCACCAGTGGTCCCCACTGCCCCCCACCCCCTGCTGCCACTTAAAGATTCCACTCAACCCGTAACAGACCCCTCTCAGTCCCTCCTGCCCCTGGACCTTTGCACACGCTATGCCTCAGTCTAAAACCATCTTCCTCTCCTCACCACCTGTTCTCCTCTCACCAACTTCTTTCCTTTTTTAAGACTCAAAAGAGGTCTTTTCCCCTCCAAGCACATGACAGTAGTGCTGCTCTGTCCTACCTTGCTCACTGCTATATCCCCAGTACCCAGCAAGCACAGGGTAGACAGTAAATATCAGTGCAATGACTAATTCAGTTGCTTTGCTGCCGCTACTATGAGTTGTCCAAACCGTGCAAACCAGCTTTGCCGATTGGCTTCTTAGAGCCACTGAAAAAGGATGATCCTTGCAATGCCAACTGGGAAAGAGGGGAGCATTCCCCTACCCCTTCCAGAAGCGTTTGTTTATTCCAGTCTGAGCAGCGTGTCCCTGCGCTCTACCTGCACGCTTTGCCAAAGTGGCGCACTGGAACGTCCGCCGTATCGCCCTTCATGGGCAACCCATCCCAGGCCGGTGGCAAAACTCACGTGTTATGTGACGAGGAGATCCAGTAATGAGACAAGGGGTTGTTCATGTCCTGCATGTCCACCACGTCATACTTCTCATCCCAAATGCTGTTCTCCCGTGAAAACAGGTACGTGAGGAACTAGGTACCACAAACACAAAGAGCGGATCATCACGATGGAAGATGAGGAGGGTGGTATCTGGTTCTTTCTGGTCTGACCCGCACGGGGAAGCGGTAGCTCTGACACGTTAACTGCACAGATAGTCTCCAGGCCGTCTGACCCACGTTTCCACGCAGAGACTCACAGAGCCACAGGCTGTACTGACGCATGTGCCACTGACCTACACAATGTTTTCCTTATTAATGTGTACCCTAAAATATTTGTTACTACAAGAGTATATGCTTCCTATATATAATAAGTTTTAAGGTGTAATAATACCATAAACATCTGTGAACCCGCCAACTTGATAAACAAAACATTAACATTGTATCATAACATTTAAAAGGCAGGAAATGTCATATGCCAATGCTTGACCCTTTTAAAAAAAAATCAGAAGATTGAGTGACACTGGGGTAACACTCTGCTTCCTGGGAACAACCTTACAGATAATAGGAGCTCCCAGTTCTCCCTCAGTCTTACCTCCCCTGCTGCCTCACTCAAGGCCAAGTGCAACCATTTCAACAGCTCACAGGAACCCCAAAACCTTTGAATTTGGTGTGTTTACAATGCGCTCCTGGGCAATAGACGCCCTCTAGTGGCAAAAACACGAAACGCACCCAGGAAACGAGGCCAATAGACAAGGAGTAAAAGGAAAGACTGAGGAAAACCAGCGGAAGGAACAGCTCACAAGGAGCCCACTCACCTCATCAACAAACAAGAAGGGCTCCGCGGTTTCCCTCATCGTGTCGTCGATAAACTTTGTCATCCTCTCACGGACTTTGTTCACATCCTGAGCCCAAAGTTCCTTAGAATGACAAAGAAAACAAGAAATCACCAAAAGGAGCAATGTCAGACCGTGGGGTGACTCGCCTGGCTGACCCCAGCAAGGCACATAGTCTGTCTGCTCATCTGCATCCATTACGTCAGTGATGGCGAACCTGTGACACGCGTGTCAGAGGTGACACGCAAACTCATTTTTTTGGTTGATTTTTCTTTGTTAAATGGCATTTAAATATGTTAAATAAATATCAAAAATATAAGTCTTTGTTTTACTATGGTTGCAAAGATTAAAAAATTTCTATATGTGACACGGCACCAGAGTTAAGTTGGGGTTTTTCAAAATGCTGACACGCCGAGCTCAAAAGGTTCGCCATCACTGCATTACGTGGAGTGATAATATCCTTGCAGAGTTTCCGTGAGGATGCATACTATAAAGTAACTTTATTGTGTTCCTCTCCAAACCCTAACCCCCCAAGTATTCATCAGCACAGGGAGGAAACAGGACCCACACACTCAACTTTGACTAATGCTTTCCGGGCTTCGAGTATTCTAAAGCCTCTATCGGTAAGAACAATGAAAGCAAATGTGCTGTCAGATGTGTATGTGGTTGGGTGAGAAGGGTCGGGCCAGGATGTCTGAAAGAGAGAAGAGCTGAAGGACAGACACAAATGAGGTTGCGGAGAAATGGCCCCCCTGGCAATGTGGGTGCAGGTCAACAATGAGCCTTGCTGTTGATTCTTGCAAATCTACTTGGATAAGGGACACAAAACAGCTGGGCGACTGGGGAGTAGCCAGTTCGTTTGAACACAGAAGTGATAAAATCTTTGAATATTAAAACATGAGACTCAAATTGTAGGGTCCTTTATGCAAAGGCCATGCCAGGCCTTGATGTCCCCCCAAGGCCAGAAGCTTCCTCCTTCCTTCTACAAAGCTTCCTCATCAACCCCAGGAGATACTTACTATTCTCCTCATCCTATAAATGCGGAAACTGAGATGTCGAGTCATTAAAGAACTTGACCCCAACTTTGAGCTTGAGACCAACTCAGGCACATCAGTTTTGGGGTCTTCCTCTTCACCCCCTTTCTACAGAGTAACCCACCCCTCCCACAGCTGGACTGGGGCATAGTTAACCGGTCCCTTCACAGAAATTTAGATTAGTTCCAAGCTTTCATTTCTGCTGAAAATGTTGCTGTTGTTGCTTTAGGGTAAGTTCCTAGGAGGGCAATTATTTAATCAAAGTATATTAGCCTTTTTTCAAAGATTTCATGTTAATTGCATATTGCCAAAGCACTTTCTAGAAAACTTGTACTAGTTTACACACCACGTGCTACAGTGACTACCCCACATGTGCGCATCCATCACACCAAACAGATGTCCTCAGTGACTGGCTCTGCTTCATGCCGTCACCCCACAGAGCACCGGCACATGGGACATTAAGGGTCAGCCAGCTGATGGCTCAGGGTCCCCATCTCTGTCATCATGCCTGGCGCTGCTATCACACTCACACAGATGCTCAGGGGCTGTCTTGCATGTGAAGAGCTCCAGCCTATATCCCTGATCTCCGAGGACAGCGCAGCGAAGGGGCTGGGGGTGGAAGGAGGTGGGGGCAGGAGGGGATGAGGATGGGGAGAGCTTGTCATTCTCCCCTGTAATAAAATTAAGCAGCACTGGGTGGTGAATTCTGGGATGTAAGGCCACTTGTTCCCAGGAGGTTAGCCATGTAACTGCTGACAAGGAGAAAATTCTGAGCTGTAACAGCCAACTGGAGGGTGGAAGGAAGGGACAAAACAGGTTAATCCGTTAAATGCAGGGCAAAACCAACAAAAGACTGCGTGCCATCCTGCGTGGTGTCGAAACCGTGAATATACGTCCAGGTGGCCATTCCCACCATTACCTCAAGAGGACAGCCAGGTGCCGCTGACCACCAGGCGCCTCCGCCTCTCGTTTACAAATGAACTTTCTGACTGCTTCCCACCACCAATCCAAGGAGCATTCACTTCCTCCTTTCAGACTCTGCCCTTCCCCAGAACCAGCCCGCTTCACCTTCTCCCACCCCCTTTATCTACAGCCAATGTGCCTTCTTTCTAAGCAACTTACACCTTTCTTCCCTGCACTGTTTTCCCAGACGAGCCCCTCAGCTCCAGGACAGCGAGCACCGTCTTCCCCGCCAGCCCTGCTGCCGGCTGCACAGGCTGCGTGCCCCAGGCCCTGGCCCTTTTCTGGCCGGCGTTGGGCTCAATAAACCCTTTCTTTCAGAAAAGCCTTTGGTCGTGAATATATGTGTGTAACACGTCACTAGCTCCCTACAAAAGTGAGTAATTGGCCTGGCAAGTGTGACTCAGTGGCTGGGAGTTGACCTATGAACCAGAAGGTCATGGTTCAATTCCTGGTCAGGGTACATGCCCAGGTTGCTGGCTCGATCCCCAGCAGGGGGCATGCAGGAGGCAGCCGGTCAATGATTCTCTCTCATCACTGATGTTTCTTTTATCTCTCCCTCCTTCTCCCTTCCTCTCTGAAATCAATAAAAATATCGTTATGCCCTAGCTGGTTTGGCTCACTGGTTAAAGTATCGGCCTGCAGACTGAAGGGTCACGGGTTTGATTCCAGTCAAGGGCACATACCTAGGTTTCAGGCAAGATCCCCAGCCCCAGCCCGTCAGGATACGTGCAGGAGACAACTAATTGATGTACCTATCTCACATCGATGTTTCTCTCTGACTCTACCCCTCCTTCTACTCTCTAAAAAGTAATGGAAAGCATGGTGAGGACTAACAACAACAACAACAAATATACACACACACACACACACACACATCTATAATAATAAAAGTGTAATATGCTAATTAGACCAGATGTCCTTCCAGACCACCTTCCGGATGAAGCTGGGGCTGTGAGGGAAGCCTGGGTCCCAGGTGCCAGAGGGAAGCCGGTGCCGGCAGCCAGGGGAAGGAAGGCCTACTCTTGCACAAATTTTGTGCATCGGGCCTCTAATATATGTATATGTGAGTGTGTGTGTATGTGTGTGTGTGTGTGTGTGTGTGTGTGTGTGTAAGTGAGTAATTCAGTGCAAGGAAGAGCATGGTGGAAAAGAAATAAACCATACACCTCTCTCTCTGCTTCACTGCACTGGCAGCTCAGTACTGAGGGTGTAATTGTGCCAAAGGGAACTCACTTATCCCCCTTCCTTTTACTTTTCCTTGGTGGTAGCTCAGGCTGAGCAAATAAGCCCTCTCTTGATCACTCACACTCCACCCCCACATGGACAAAGCATGACACCTCAATGTCCTCGGTCACCATTCATCACGTTACAGTAGCAACAGCCATTGCCCGGGCCCTCCGTGTGGCCGCCCTGCGCAAAAGTGTGTGTGCACTGTTTTCTCTACAATCAGAGAAATCTTGACACAAGCTGTGTATTGGATGACAGAGAAATTAGAGTTGCATGTGCAAGGTACAATAGCAGTGTTATGATTATGCTTTTAAAAAAAGAAGTCCATTTCATGAGAGAGGCAAGCTGACGATTTACAAGTGAGATGACACACTGTCTTAATGATACACTGCAGTTTACTTTAGAATTTTCCGGGCCACGAAAAGAAGGGGAAGGGGAGGGAGACAGGGGTGTGAGATGGAGGACAGATGTAATAAAATGGGCACATGTTCATAAATGATGAATCGGAGTGCTGGGCACACGGTGGCTCTGTGCCAGCTTGGCTATTTTTGCACATGTTTAAAACATTTTGCAATACAAAGATTTTTTATAAATGAACTGAGTATCGTTATGAACCTAAAACTATTCTAAAAAAGTAGTCTATCAGAAAACAAAAAATTAAATAAAGAGAGAAAATGTAAATGAGACTCCAGTGATATAAATAAAACACTGATATGTGATTATGCACATAGATGCATATACACAGAGATCAATACCATCTTCTCTGACCCCCACAATTCTGAGAGGCGGGGCTCTCATCCCCATTAAAAAACTGGGGTACAGAAAGGCCAGATTGCCGCCCAAGGCCACACAGCTAGTGCGGGAGCTCAGCTCTCTCTTGGCCTGTTTCTCAGCTGCGCCCTATTAGCACTTGGAGTTGGGTAATTCCCTGCTGCGGGAGGGCTGACCTGTGCGTGTGAGGCTGTTGAGCAGCATCTCTGGTCTCTACCTACCACATGCCATTAGCACCCCCAGTTGTGGCAACCAAAGCTGTCTCCAGGCATCCCCTGGGGGGCAGAGCCGCCCAGTGGAAAAGCACTGCCCCCCACAAAACTCATGGCCCCCCACAAAACTCACGGCCCCTGCCACCAGCTTGGAGCCTGGACGTTAACACTCCAGGAGACTTCTTCCCACGTGTCACCCGTTTGAGGACAACTGTGCTCACATATGCCCCAGGGGACCTCGCAGGCTCACCGCCTTAGTCACACCCTCCATCAGTCAGAGAAGGCTTCCTGGGGAAGGGAAGCTAAGCTGAGCCAGGAGCCAGAGGGGAAGCCAGCCAGGGGAGGCGCACCTGCCTGTAGGCCTCAGCCTGCCTGTCCACGGAGAAAAATTCTCCCTCTTGCCCGTCCTCAATTTGCGCCTCGTTCCAGAGGCTAAGACAGCAAAGCAAAGAGGCACTGGGCAGGGAGACTAAACTGTTCATGACCACAGGTGGCCAGATGAAGACACAGGGCAGGTGGTGAGATGGTGAGAAACCATCCAGGAAGCTCCCCCCAGCCTCCCTTGCACCCTTCTGTTCTCTCACCTGCTGTTCATGTAAGAGAAACCGCTGGAAGTCATGCAGGTGAACCGCGGAGGCATCCGGCCGGTCAGTACTGCTGCCCTCGGGGAAAGAGAGGGTGTTTAGAGAGGGACACATGTCAGCAGTCAAGAGGCCATTCCTGCCAGCAGGCGGCCTGCCACCCAGACACCCTGGTAAAACCCTCCTCTGTGTCAGGGGCAGGCTCATCAATGGGAAGAAAAGGTGGCCTAGATGACATTCCTGACCTCTAACAAATGGAGGGTGGGCCCTGGAACCTGCATTTAGCTGCTCCTAGGTGGTTCCAGTGCTGAGGGAGGAGAGCATGGATATGCGTGTGCCCAGCAAATGCATGGGTAGACTGGGTGTGAACAGACTTTAAAGGGAGCTGGGGCCACATCAAAGCGTCTCCTTAGAAGCCACAATGCAGAGTGTGCTGAGCCAGGGGCTCCAAAGCAGGACTGGGGGCCGGATGAAGCCCCCTGGACTCTGGGCGGGTGGCGAGCATCAGCGGGAACATGCAGGACCTGGCCATGGAGCAAGCAGAGGCCCGCTGTTGGAGAATTTTCCATTTGGGATGAGGGAACCCTTCACCCTGAATAAAGGGGACGCCCCCTCGGCCAGCAGCTTGATGACCGATGGCCTTGGGGAGAGGATGCTCATGGCTATCAAAACGCTGGGCCCCCCTGACCGCCACAGGCAACCTGGTTCCTACGAAGTGCATCCTGCAGAACAGCTGCCTGGCGAGATTCGTACTCGTCCCTGAGCACTTGCCAGTGGGGTGGGGGTGGGGACTTTTCAGAATACAGGAGAAAAACATGCTTTAGGCTTCTCCCTGTACTAACACTCGGGGTCCACAAGTCTGTTGTCTTTCATTACAAGTGCACTTCTACTCGTCTATGCGAACAAGCCTCCTACGATTGCTTCACAGCTTTTCCTTAATTCATTAGTCTTTTCATTAAAATACGACATAAACATCAGGTTTGGTTTATATACACTCTGAAGTCTTGGGGCTTCTGGTTTAGAAAGTGACAGAGGGAATCAGTGCCAGGGTGTCCGCACCAATGAGGGTGGTCCCTAAAAAGCAGGTCCAAAGCATGTTCGAGGTGCTGTTAACTCCATGGGAAACCTTTCTCCCCGGGCAGACAGGCTTGGGGAGCACAGAACACTGTATACATCCCCTACTTAGGGCCCCGGTCCCGCAGTGAAGGTCCTGACAAGTCCCGCAGCACTTACTTTTTCATAACATCATTATTACTATTTACAGGTCCTTGCCACACACCACGTGAAGCACTTTACATGCTTCCCCTCTTTCATCCAGTTAAACCTTCTTACCCAGGAATTTCCCAAACCCACTTGGCACTTAACAATGTTTTAATTTGTATTAAAAAAAAACAAAAAAAACCTCTCCACCAGTCATGTTCTATGAAGCACACCCCAAGAAAGGAGGTCCTAAAGCACACAGGCTTCTCTACAGAACCTTCAGGCTCTTCCCAGCCAACACTCCACACACTCTGTTGGTACTGTTCCTGTGTATCCATGCCACAGGGTCGGCATGCCCAATTCCTGGATAGGCAGACCCCCGCCCCCAGTGCCCACCCACAGAGGCGACCCTCCCAGAGCCGCTAGCTGGACTGGGAGAACCCCCAAGGGCACCAATCACCAGCTCAGCCACCCTGAACAACCATAACCCAGAAGAGGTGCCTCACCCCAGGATGAACACGGAGGAATCTTTTTTGAATTCGTCAAGAATCTGAAATGGAAAACACACACAAAACAAGGACCGTCGACAAGTGAAGCCACTAGATGCAAATGGACAGATTTGGGGGGTTAAAAATTAACACCATAATTTGTGTGACTTGTTAATGCAAATGAATAGACTTTTTTTTTCTGTGAAATTATCATTGTAATCTGAGCGACTTGTAAATAGTCAAATACAACCAGAACGTATGAAGCAAAAGGCAGAAGTCCTGACCTCTGTCATCATCTTATTCCTGAGAATTAATCACTCTTAATGATCTTGTAGGCTTCCTTCTAGAATTTATGTTATATTAGTCTAATTATATCTAATCATAATATATTACATCTTGTCTCCCAACTTCCTGCTGCTGTTTCAAGCTTTAAATATGATTCTACCTACAACCTCAAATAGTCCAACCTCATTACTTTGAAAACCCACATTTATTCCATAACATGTGTATCTATTTTCTGCTACTATATCCAGTCTTATAAAGAAGGTCCTCGTATATATCTTTGCCCATGTGCACCGGTGTTTCTGTTGGGTAGACTCCTAGCCAGGAAAACACTTGGACGTGGGGTGTGCACATGAACCTCAGTAATTCCATCAACTGGCTCTCCAAACAGCTGTCCCAACCGACATCCCCACCAGTGAACACACCAACTTTCCTATACTCTCATTGCTACATTTCAAGTCCTTAAAATTTCAGAGTATTCTATTAAAATATTTAAGGGAAGATTTATACAAAAAACCTGACAAGAGAGAAGTGGGTAAGGGCATGGATGAAATAAAATGGCCATGAATTGATTGATCATTGCTGAATATATGGGGGTTTGTGATACTAGTATCCCCGCTTGTACGTGTTGGACATTTCCCTTATTCAAAGTTTAAAAACTTAAAATCAGGAGAACTCAAACCCTAGTTCAGCTTACTAGCTGTATGACCTCCAGCAAGTAGCCTCTCTGACTCTCAGTTTGTTCATCTGTAAAATGGGATAACAATCTCTCTCTCACAGGGTTGTGAGAAGCATTAAATGCATGGAAAACACTTAGCACAGCAGCCAGCATAGAGTTCACACTTAGAAAATGTTAGCTATGATCTGTGTTCATAATCCTGTTATTATAGCCAGGTTAGAGGTATAGCCCCTCACCAGGGGGATACATATGAAATTACAAGTCTTATCTTCCTGCTGTTGTCAAACTTTTGGAAGCCCTGAAGCTTGAAAGCAGCAGCATAAGCAGGTGGGTAGATACACAGAAGAACTGACAACCTCAAGTTGGAAACCTACAGCTACTGATGAGCAAGAACTCACTCCATGGATTTGGGTCTGGGTGGGGTATCAATCACCATAAACAGCCCTGTCTCCCCAAGGAGCCCAAGAAATCCAGCTGAGCCCCTAAGAGCACCACTAATACTTTTCTCTGTCCTGCTCCCAGGGAGAGCTCAGGAAGTAAGTTATATGCTAACAGGGGAGGGGCAATTACCTACCACAAATGCACTGCAGTTTCCCAAGTCAGCCAGCAACTATCTAGAGAGCTTGGGGCTTTGTTATTCAAATTCCAAGTCACTGAATTAATATATGCACTGGCCAAACTGGACAGTAATACCATGCAATGGTGGAGACCAGAGTTTGCCAACCCAGAAAGTCTTCAGGGCCAGGTAGGCAACAGAGATTAGCAGAAAGCTGGCTGCGGGTGAGGGCGGGGGCAACCAGGGAATGCATGCCTCCTTTCTACTCAGAGGTCAGCACTGGAACGCAGGACCCGTAGATAGTCAGATCTCAATGTATTTCGAGAGAAGCTAAAAATCTGGAGCTTAATATGAAATCTCCCAAGTATTAAATGTAGGCAATTCATTTCAAAAACATTTAAAACCATTAGGCCAAATACAGCTGAATGCATGCATGCTGAATGTGGCGCTGAGGCCGCCAAAGGCAACCTCTATACAGGCGTCTTTCCCCCAAAACTGGGCAATCTAGGGAACCCCCAGAGGATCTGGGGACTCCAATATCTCCCTCTCAAACACACACACATTAATTAGCCTTAGAAAGACCCATACCGGAAGGTGCAGGTTGAAATACCTCTCTTGTGGAATTTTATCACCATGGAGACTATCCAGGGGTTAACCTGTGCTGGCAGCCGAAGTAGCTGTTTTGAAAATCTTATTCTCAAGCTTTGCCTGCTATCTGTCCCCTGAGACAGCATCCTAAAATTTCAAGGCAACTGATTACAAACACTGTTCTTTGCAATCACTTATCTTGAATAAATCAAGCTTTGTTCTCAGTCCTGGTCAATTGCCTGAGACAGCAGTTGTCATTATTCTGGATTTCGAAGGTACACTGCCATCGAAACACCTTCATCGCTCTCAAGCACTGACTATAAATAAAGCTTACGGATTTTACCCTAAGAAGTGTTTGGATCAGCTTTTGTGCAATAGATTTCTTTTTATTAAGGTTCCATATTAAAAGGGGGAGGGGAGTACATAGTTTTAAAAGTTTTATAACCAGTAACCTGACTTGATACCTTCATTTTATAGAGGATGCTTGAGTGAGGAGGAAAAAGATGGCTTCCCCCAAACCACTTGGTCAGTTAGAGGTCAAGTTGGGGCTGGAATCTGGGTCTTTCAACTCCCAATACCTATAATCTTTCCACTCTTTTTGGCAAAACAAGAACTAATCCTTATATATGTGGGGGGAGGGGGGGAGTAAACACAGTGCACCGGAAGTTTATACTCTATAAAATAATGTATTTCTGCCCGATCTAGACACACAGGAAATGCTTCTCCCATTTCCCTTCCTTGGAGACATCCAAAATCTCATGGTCATTGGTCACCTATCAAGGGGCCTCACCCTGTGGCCGGCCTACCAGCCTGCATGTAAAAGGCGATTAAAACTGTCTTCTAGCCCTAGCTGGCTTTGCTCAGTGGATAGAGAATTGGCCTGTGGACTGAAGGGTCCGGGGTTCGATTCCGGTCAAGGGCACATGCCCAGGTTGCGGGCTCGATCCCCAGTGGAAGGTGTCTGGAAGGCAGCCAATCAATGATTCTCTCTCATCATTGATGTTTCTATCTCTCTCTCCCTTCCTTTCTGAAATTAAAATATAATTTTTTAAGAAAACTGTCTTCTAGCGACTTTCACACTCATCACTTAAAAATGACTGCACACTCAACACCCAAACCCTCATTTAGTCCTCCTCAGAGCCCTGTGGTGCAGGGATCACCACCCCCATTACACGGATGAGAAGACTGAGGCTGGGAGTGGTCAGTGGCTGGCCCAAGATCACACAGCTGATTGGAGAAACCAGATAAGCCACTGGCTCCAACTCCCACCTACTCTCTGCTCCCTCTCAGGTCTGCTTTGAACCCACCCTTGCCACCTGCAAAGCCCGCTGCCAACAGTAACAGCAGCAGCTCCTGTTTGTGGCATGCATGCCACCCACCAAGCTCTATGTTCTGTGCATTGCATACTTTTTAAGCTTTATACTTTTGGGGACTTTTTTATTGCAAAAGTAATATACCAACTTGGAACAAGTCAAAGAAAACTGAGGTGTACAAAGAAAAAGGCAATTCTCTCTCCTACCCGTCTTTCCAAACTCCTCCAGAACACACACATAATCAACATTAAATGTGAGGTGTGTCTTCTTCCATACTTTCTCCTTCTTCATAAAAACACATAGAGATGATATATAGGAGGGTCACTGTATTCTGTTTTGTTTTTACAAAAAATCGGACCCAACTCCTCACATGAATCTGCTGCTGGCTTTCCTCACAAAATTTCATGAACATCCAGAAACACAATGGATTCGGAAGTCTTCACCAGCTGCATGACGCTGCGCAGCACGGCCGGACCATGATTTACCAGCTGGTCCTCTACCGAGAGGCACCCAGATGGTGCCGGGTATTTTGCCCGAGTAAGTAACGCTACGATAAACAACCTGGTGACACATCCTTAGGTCCCAGTGCTCTCATTTCTCCAGGACAGAGTCCCCAACATGCCACCTTCAGACCAAAATATATTTTAAGTTTAAATTAGCATACTATCCTAACCTTCTTTTTGGTCTTTGCTTTTGTTCGCTGAACCTAGTTCCCAGGACCTTTTAATTTAATTTTAAAATAGCATATTATCTTAAAAATATATTCTCATAAAAACGAATAAAAGTATAAAAAGAAGGCACACACACATAGTCCCTCAACCCAGAGATGGTTACTATTAATAATTTGATAAATTTCCTCCCAAGTGAGATAATACAGTTAGAATTGGTGGACTTTTTTACTTTAATAGATTCAGATTACATTCCAATCGGAGGGACAGCCACTCATATTCCCACCAAGAAGGTATGAGAACCAATTCCCCACACTTTCCCCAAAGAACTACCACCTTTAAAAACATCTGCCAGTCTAACAGGTGAAAATGGTATGTCACTGTCATCCCCACTTTCCATTTCTGCGACTGGAAAGGAGACGTCTCTGGTTTTCCTAGGAACGTGCTGGACTTTGAAACACGGGGGAAACAAAAACATCATTCGATCATGTGCTCAAGCATCACCTTACCGATTTTTGCTGTTCAAACATAAGTTTTTTATAGAGGAGATGGAACTGTTCAAAGCTGAATTCATCTTTGTTTGCGCCTATTTCCTGTAAATAAAAAAATAAAAAAAAATGACCGCACAAGTGTTGGTGTCGACCACAAGATTGCCTCCTCCCTGATTACAGCAATAGAACACCTTTCTACAACACTGGCTAAAATCAACCCGCATTCCTGTGAACCCAAACTGTCCACAAGCTTCCTACTTAGCTGTCTGAAGAACATAGCCACCAGAGACCCTACCAGGTAAAATCCTTCCACTGATCCCAAAAAGGGAAGAGTCTCGACCAGAATTCCACGAGCCATAATGAGAACTTCTCCTTTTGGGGGCATCAAAGACATGTTTAAATCTAGACATATTTATAGGGTAGTTTTGTACAGGTCATTTTTTCAAAGCATAAGAAAACTAACCAAGCTTTTAGATTATATGGAACTCAACTCCAGTCAAGGCTTATCCCGATTTGCTGAATGGCTTTGGGAAATTTACGTGACCCTTTCAGACCCTCAGTTTCTTCATCTGTAAAATGGGAGAACCAACATCACCCTCCTCAGACTTCCCTGAGACCGAACTCGATAACATCAAGTGAAGGCTTGATAGAGAACAAAATTCCAATTAAGTAGTAATCAATGGTAAATGCTTCTCCCATCTCTTTTCTCTCCTTTCAATCCCCACCCATGTCCATTTTCATCTTTTTGAATTAGATTGTTTGGGGGGAAATCAAAAGGTGGCTTGATAAACCATAAAGTGGGTTAACTCTTCCAGGAGCTCACTGGCACAAAAACGAATGAGCTTCTTGGGCTGAGGAATCCATGACTGGGGCTGCTGTGGACATGGCCATGTGAGTCCTCCAACTGAGGATACTGGGGTGGAGTGTGGTTGGGCTCCTTGACAAGAGTTGGTATCTCTCTGGGGCCAGAAAGTGTGCCGCTACATCATCTCCATCATTACATCATTCGGAAGAACCCCACCTCACCTCCTCTACCCCATCACTCCTGGAGTGGCTTTACCTGCCCCAAATCTACCAACAGCCTAGTTACACAAGAACATAAAGAAATTAAGTGATGAGTGGAAGGAGGAATGGGTGGATGGCAGGGTGGGTGGGAGGAAAGGTTCAGAGGGGAAAGGTGGGTGGGAAGACTGATAGGTGGGAAGTGAAGGGAAGGACAGAGAAGAACCAACTCTGACAACTACACTATCAAGACTTGCATACAAAATTCTACACCCCTGGCAACCTACATGAGAAATCTTTCAAAATATTTTCCAAAACAAACACGTTGTTCATATTACTAGAAGTGAAATGGGCTGCAGGGTGGGGAAGGAAAGGAAAAGTTGGGCTGGTGAGTGTGTTTCAAATCAAGCATCTGCGTAAGCACAGTCTTCATAGATGACGTCCTCTGCTAGAATTGAGAACATGGTCACCAAGATCTTCCCATGATTCCTTTGTCTGGACTAAGACAGGATCTGGGGTGAAGGACGTTCTTGGGCACCAGTCACAGGCCCGTAGTGGCTTCACGTGAGAGGCACAAGTAGCCGTGAGTCACAAAATTATCAGGCTGAGCCATGAAACTTACCGCAAACTTATCCTTGAGGAACTTGGCACTGCTCACTTTGAAGTTGACCAGGGGCAAGATGGCCTTCAACTCTCGGAGGCTGATGCTGCAAAAGAGAGAAACCCAACTCCGTCAACCTTGAGGGGTTTCAACAGTGGAGGGTTTGGCTATTCCCATCAGCTACCGCCTCAGGTAGTCCTCTAGGAGAAGACCCTGCCAAGAGCTGTTAACTGAGCACCAGAGACCTGGATTCAAGGTTAGGGTGACACCTCGGTGCACAAGGCTTATCTCTACCCTTCAGGGGAGGCCAGGGACATGGCCATGTAGGAGACACACAGTGTGAGCAGAACATGGTGTTAGATGACCAGATAACCTCTGCAGATATGAAATGTCACAAAGGTTCAAACTAAAGAGAGTTCACTATCAAACTATACTACAAAGCCATTATAACCAAAACAGCCTGATACTGGCACAAGAACAGGCATATAGACCAATGGATCAGAACAGAGAGCCCAGAAATTAACCCACACCATTATGGTAAATTAATATTTGACAAAGGAGGCAAGAACATACAATGGAGTAAAGACTGTCTCTTCAACAAATTGTGCTGGGAAACCTGGACAGACATGTGCAAAAAGATGAAACTAGACCAGCAACTTACACCATAGACAAGAATAAACTCAAGATGGATAAAAGTCTTAAATATAAGGCATGAAACCATAAAAATCTTAGAGAAGAACATTGGCAGTAAAATCTCAGACATCTCACATAGCAATATGTTTATGGATACATCTTCTAGAGCAAAGGAAGCTAAGGAGAAAATAAATAAATGGGACTACATCAAAATAAAAAGCTTCTGCACAGCAAAAGAAACCACCATCAAAATGAAAAGGGAACCCACTGTATGGGAGAACATACTTGCCAATGACATGCCTGATAAGAGGTTAATAGCCAAAAATATAAAGTACTCATACAACTAAACAAAAGAAAGACAAACAATCCAATTTAAAAATGGGCAGCTCTAGGAACTTGCTGCTCTGAGGAGAGTCCCTGGACCAGAAGCATCAACAACAGCTGGGAATTTGTCAGAAAGGCAAATCCTTGGGTTCCAGCCAGAATGTCCAGTGAAGCAGAATGTCTGCAGGGGCGGCTGTGCACACCTGTGGCTAAAGGCCCCCAGGTGGTCCCAAGGAGCCAAAGCCACAAATGTTAACCCCATGAAAGCTCTCAGCCTCCCCTCTGTCACCGCCAGGCTGAAGCACAAGGAGTGCACAGGGCATATACATATCCAATCTATGTGCAAGGGCACAAGGGCAAAGGGGGTAAAAAAATGTACCCAGGAGGCAATCTGCTACCAGCCCTTCAGGCTGCTGCCCCCTCAGTGGGACTCCAGCCCCTGTGAGCCTTACACTGAGGAATGCAATTCTAGAGACCCTCGTAGAAGGTGCAGGGGTTTCCTCAAGGGCTGTTTTGACCAGAGAGATTTTCACCTTATGCACTGACCTTAGAACCTAATTCCCAGAGAAGAGACAACTGAACTCTAAAGGCTCATAAAGGGGAGGTCTCTGGAAATCTGGCCAAGATTATACTGTTAAAACCTTTAACCCATTTTCCCCAGGCCTGGAAATGTCATAATGAAAATGTCCAATACTAGAACATTCCATGTGCCGGATGTTATGTCTAGGAGTGAGAAAGGAGGAGTTTCGTTCATCCAACAGACACTATTAGAGTGGAACCAGCCAGATCCCTGACCTCAAGGAGCCCCGGCCAACATGAGCAGCAACAACAAGGGGAAGACTTAACTAAAGCAGAACACTACCACCAACAGGGGACAGAGGGGTCATGGCATGAAGGCTGAGAATCCTACAGTGACCCCAAAAGTGCTTCTCATGAGGGCCACATCATAAGTTCACTTGGAAGACCATTCTGTGACAGTAGGAACATGAAAAGCTAGACACAAACTAAATGACAAACAAAAGGCAACGTTTTGAGCCAAATATCAAATTCCTATTGGTTGAATTATAGCATAGACACTGACATAGTGTTTCTGAAGAGTTGCAATGAAATGTAGAAGTTCTTATAGTTTGACATGAGGTGAAAATAGTTTATTTCTTTTCTCCTTTAGTGATGGCCAGACTTGATGAGTTATTCCCAAAGAATGGAAGGGGGACAACTTGACAAAGGAGAAATCTGGAAGATACTACCTTGGCCAGGTGATCAAAGTTGACATCACCATTGATAAGCCATGTTGAGAGTATATTCCTCTTGATATGATGTGTTGAAAGACCTTTACTTCTGTGATAGTCTTCCCAAATACCCATCACCTCAGGCTATATAACTCCAGTCTAATTATGAAAAACATATCAGACTAATTGATGGACATTCTACAAAATACCTGAGACATGCTCCTCAAAACTATCAAGGTCATGAAAGACAAGAAAAGATTGAGCAAGTGCAGGCCAAGAGGACAGAACAACTAAGTACAATGTGTGGTCCTGGGTTGGATCCCAGACCAGAAAAAGGATGTTGGTGGGACAGAAAAATGAACTCCAAAGAAGTCTAGAGTTCAATTAATAGTCACATATCAAAGATAGTTTCTCAGTTTTGACAATATACCATCATAATGTATGATGTGAACATCAGGGAAAACTGGGCAGAGAGGAATATGAAAACTCTCTAAATATAAAATTATTCAAAAATTCAAAAGTTAATTAAAGAACAGGATATAAGCTTAGGTATAGTTATATTTTAATAAGGAAACGTGAACAAGGAAGCAAATAAATGAAGTTGAGGGTGGAAGACTTATACAAAAAAAAATGTAGTTGAAGTTAACAGTGTTTACCATTTAATATCAAATTTATACAAGTTTTTTCTAGTTTCCAGAATTTCCAAAAAATTTTTCTATAATGAGCAGGAGTGACTTTCATCATTAAAAAAAATATCCATATGCAGCTTGAGACCACATCAAAATACCACCAACCACCTCCACAAGAAACACATTCAATGGGCGGACTCTGCAGCACCAGAGCCCTGCTGAATGAAGTAAGTCCTACTCTGTGGGGTGGCCCCCACACAGGTGACCCTCCATGGTGGTCAGTGGTCGCAGCCAGTCCTTGCAGCCAATCAGCCTGGGGGTAAATCCCTCCCAATGATGTGCCAACAACAATCAAGAGTCAACTACAACAGGAGGGGGTGCACAGCCCACACAAGGGTGGGGCGCACCTAGAGTGCCTAGCTTGGGTGATTGGAGAGGCTGTGTCACTGGACCCTACAGAACACCGACTGCATGAGGCCACTCTACCAAGCCTGGGAGATGTAGCAGCTCTACCTAATACATAGAAACAAACAGAGAGAGGCTGCCAAAATGAAGAGACAAAGAAATATGTCCTAAAAGAAAGAACATAACAACACTACAGAAAAAGAACTAAACAAAATGAAGACAAGCAATCTACTAGATGTGGAGTTCAAAACACTGGTTATAAGGATGTTCAATGAACTTGGTGAGAATTCCAAGAGAATAAGAAAGGACATATAAACCATTAAAAAAAAAAGTCAGAAATGAAGGATACATTAACTGAAATGAAGAATAATTTATAGGGAATCAATAGAAGAGTAGACGAAGCTGAGAATCAAGTCAGAGATTTGGAATATAAGGAAGCAAAAAATACCCAATCAGAACAGCAAAGAGAGAGAGAGAGAGAGAGAGAGAGAGAATCCAATAAAATGAAAATAGCATAAGGAGCCTCTGGGACAACTTCAAGTGTACCAACATTCACATCATAGGGGTGCTGGAAGGAGAAGAGAGAAAGCAAGAAATTGAAAACCTATTTTTAAAAATAATGACAGAAAAGTTACTTAACCTGGTGAAGGAAATAGACATAAGTAGCCCAAGAAGCACAGAGAGTCCCAAACAAAATGAGCCCAAAGAGTTCACACCATAATTAAAATGCAAAAGGTTAAGGACAAAGAGAGAATCTTAAAAGCAGCAAGAGAAAAGCGGTTAGTTACCTACAAGGGAGCTCCCACAAGACTATCAGCTGATATCTCAACAGAAACCCAAGCAAGGCCCTACAACCAAAATTACTCTACCCAGCAAAGCTATCATTTACAACAGAAGAACATAAAGAGCTTCCCAGGCAAGAAAAAAGCTAAAGGAGTTCACCACGACCAAACCAATAACACATGAAATGTTAAAGAGTCTTCTTTAAGAAGGAAAAAAAAAAGATTAAAAATATGAACAATAAAATGGCAATAAATACATATCAACATTTAATCTAAAAAGCAAAATAACTGAACAAGCAGAACAGAAACACTCACAGATACAGATAACATTTTCATGGTTGCCAGATAAGAGAGGGGTTTGGGAGGATAGGTGAAAAAGGTGAAAGGATTAAGAAGTACTAATTGATTGTTACAGAATAGTCATGAGATATAAAGTACAGCACAGGAAATATAGTCAATAATCTACACTAATAAAAGAGAAACATGGTAATTGGCGTACGACCGCTACCCTTCCCATTGGCTAATCAGCATATCCTTATGCAAATTAACTGTCAGCCAAGATGGCGGCCGGCAGCCATGCACTGAAGCGAGCAGGGAGGCTTGCTTCCTCCAGGGACTGCAGACTCCAACGTTCCCCGCCTCACTTGCCCGACTCTCAATTGCAACTCTAAGCAACTATATACTATGTTGCAAATAAGAAGCTAAACAAAACCGGCTTTCAGTCAGCCCTGGACCGCAACATTGTATCCATGTTTTCAGCAGCGAGGCCTCAGAGCTAAAGCTGGCCCAGAATGAAAAAAAAAAAAAAAGAAAACAAGGAGCAGTTGGGAGCTTTTAGTCAACTGCCAGCGGGAAAACAGCCCTCAGCCCCTCAGCCAGCCTGGCCAGGCACCCCAGTGGGGACCCCCACCCTGATCCAGGACACCCTTCAGGGCAAACCAGCCGGCCCCTACCCGTGCACCAGACCTCTATCCTATATAGTAAAAGGGTAATATGCCTCCCGGCACCGGGATCAGCGTGACAGGGGGCAGCGCCCAAACCCCCTGATCAGCCCTGCTCTGTGCCTGATAGTGGGGAGCTCCCCAATCCCCCGATTGCCCTGCG